GCAGGCAGGTTTTCAGATTGTCTCAGCCAGTCGTGATTTCTGTTTTTTTCACAGATCTAGGAGTGAATCAGTCAGCAGAATTTAGGAATGCCAACAGATCTAATCTAGAATTTTTATAGCCTGACCTACCATTTGTCATCAGAATTGAGGAGGGCAAGTGTTGAAAAGGTCTGGCTTCTAGGGCCTTGAGGGCCAGGGATGTAGAACACTTGTCCAGCATGTGTGAGGCCCTGGGTTTTGGATCCCCAGTACTTCAAAAAACAAAACAAAACGAAAACAACAACAAAAAAAAGAGTCAGGTTTCTAGACTACAGAACTAGTGTAGTGGAATCAAATTTCTAAGAATGGAGCAAAGGTATCCACGTTTATAATTATTTATGCATAATAATAAAATCACACAATTAGAGCACTTAGTTAACACAGATTTGCACCACATTCTAAGCACAATATTCCTTATTAAAACAGTTGTAATTCCATTTAATCTTTATTGCTTTGTTGAAAAATTATGGCTAAGTAAGTGAAATTATAATCTATCAAATTTTGAAATATTTAGTACACCCAACCAGAATGGAGGGAGTTGGAGTCCTGTAATAAACAATCCACAGACTTTGGTCAAATGAATTCTTTTGAAGTTTCTTCCAACAGTGAAAAAGCAAATGCTGTAGTCCTCTTTAAGTCTCAGCTTCCTCAAGTCAAAACTAAGGTAAGCAACAATTACACGATAAAACATCTCAGTAAGTGACACCTGTCTTTATTACACTGGTCAAACAATAATAGAAGGTAGAAAGTGGGTATGCTGCCATGAAGCTTTTGTGTTTTCCCTGTTCCACCCCCTTTTCATTCTTCTCTTTCTCCCAAAAGTAAGAGAGCAGAAAACAAATGGAGACAGAGCAGTTGAGGTGGATATTATAGACCCAAACAAAAACCAAGCCAACATAAAACACCTGGTCTAAAGGGAGGAAGTGGAGGTTACTACTTTTTCGTGCTAATCTTGCAATGATATCAAGCCATGACATTTTAGTGGCTTCCCCCAGAGCCCGGAACAAAAATTCAAGGCCACACATTTATCTTTGTCAGGCCTGAATGTCCCTTTCTAATCTCGTTCTTCCTTCCAGAGATTCCTACCTGGAGTTGGAGATTTTCGGTACTTTAAGTGAGATCTTATTCTTCTAAATTCTTGAAGGTTGCCCACCCTTTCCCAAAGCCCTAATCAAAATCCCATTTGTTAAAGACTATTGATCTTTGGGAGGTGCTGACCTAGTTATCTGCTTAAAGCAATTTACACCCAGGTGAGCTAAAGGCTGAACCAAACACACCAGAGGTCATTTACGTTTTAAAAGGGTTACTGCTTAGCAAACCCCAGGCTCCTTAGAAATAATTTTGAGTTACAAGGCACTTTTCTGCACACACCTCACTGTCTATCCCTTTCAACTCAAGTTTACTTCCCTCTTCTGGATCTCGTTCCTTAGTAAATCAAGTACACATTTTTTCTCTTTAGACATGCCAGGGTTTCACCTTTAAAAATGACTGCTTGCCATGGGGCTGAATGAAAATGGAAACTTTATCAGTGAGCATGAGTTGGCACAGTGAATGAATAATATCTGCAGGAATATATAAATTGACGGCTACAGAAATTCGTGCATGTGTTTGGGCGTGCATGTGTCTATTTTTTCCCCCAGATAAGGATCTCCGGAAAAATACTGACAACCCATATGTTTGCATAGTTCTTCTTCATACCCCCTCAAAATATGTCAGAAGTCTACTCTGGGTGACCAGTGCTTCTGTTACCTGCCTTAAACATTTGCTTCAGTTATCTTACTTAAGTGTTTGATGTTTACAACACCACCAAGGAGGATGGAGGGCAAATCAGAGAATTGTTCATTTGCTACTGAAGCCAGGATTATGCTCCACACAGAGAAAACAAGGACTCCAGCCAACCCAACAGGTAGCCTTTCAGCACAGAGAAACCCACCCAGCAGGGAAAGAAAAATAACAAGAGTATCCCAGAACTGATATTAAAGTTGCTATACCATATTCCATACCCAACGTGGATGGACTGACAGGCTAGCTACGTGCCAAAGCCTAAACCCTCAGTTCATTTGTTCAACAAATATTTGAGCGTCCTCCATGAATCATGCCTGCAAAGACCTTCATAGAAAAGGCAAATTCAGGGACTGTCCCTCTGAGCTTCATGAGTCCCTCTGTCACTGAATCCCAGGTATCAATTTTAGTTTGTTTTATCAATGGAAGGTAAGGATCTTGTTCTGGTTATCATTTTATCTCCACCCCAAAGCCTTGCATGTATGATAAAGATATAGGAAATCAATATGTTCTTTATAAAATGAATGGATTAAAATTTAAACATATCAGAGGGAATTTTGAGGCAAAGTTACAAATACTGTGGAATCACTACTTAAAGGGTCTTTGAAGGATCTTGGCCCTTTCCAGAGATAGCCTCAAAAATAAAGTTAAAGTTAAAGTGATTTGCCTAATTTTTAACAGTGTTTTTGTTGTTGTGGTGGTGGTGGTACTGAGGTTTGAACTCAGGGCCTTGTGCACAAATTAAATTTCACTGGTCCTGGCAGCAGGGTGTGCCTGTAATGCCAGCACTTGAGAGGCTAAGAAAAGAGGATCAACCTGGGCAACACAGGGACACTGTCCCAAAAATCCCAAAACAAGAAAAGCAAAAACACAAATCTCACAACATTCCTCAAATGCTTCCAGCATTCTTGAATTGTTGGATTTTTTTTTTTTTTTGGATTTTATAAGATTCTTAAACTAGTTCCATCAGCCATGAAAAATCCATTCATTACTTCACTATCCTCATCTGAGAAGTAATAATGGTGCTCTTCCTTACAGTTTATTCTGAGGAAAAAATGGGCAATCCTATATCTGAAACTTAAGTGACCTGATGCAAATATGAACTATTTTTTTCGCTCTGTAATCTTCTTTATATTATTCTGATGTCATGAAGTCAATGACTTATTGATCTTTGCATACCTAGGACCAGTGCTGAAATTAACTATATTAAAGAAAAAACAATCTAATGAATGCAGTACTCTAAATAAAGCTATATGTAGCATGTCACCTTCCTTACATTTTGTAAGAGAGGATTAATTACTATCTCTTAACTTTGAGTAAAATATTCAAATGCTAAAATATGTAGGATAATATGTGTTTTGTTCTAAGTCCAATTTCCATCTGTCCACAGATACCTCCTTCGTGGTAAGTTCCAGCAATTACCAAGGAGACTGGAAAGGAGACCTGAGATTGAAAACTACTGGGAGTAGGAGGGTGGAGGGAAAGTGGGAGTCTGAGCCTGGTCACCAAATCAATTTCACATGCTCAAATAGTTTTTAAAAATATATAAAAAAATAGCAGGGGAATAATAGCAAATTCCTCAAAAGCCTTTTGTTTTTGGTAAATGCTGCTATAATAAGTATACTGTTGATCATTCTGATTCAGCTCGATATACACTAAAAGCCTTGGGAGTATTAATTTTTTGCTTTGACTTATTATGTTTTTCTTATCACCATAGTAAATAGCATAGCTTCCACCCCACACAGTCTTGAGTATAGTTCACGTAAGGGTAAGAGAACTTCCACTGCTACACAATAAAACATATTCTTTGCATGACAACTAAGAATAGAAACGTTTGTGGACACAAGCAGAACTGAAACAAACACTACACATGACATAATCTACTCTTACTATGGTAATATCCTCTGAATTTTCCTAGTTTACTTCGAATCTGTGTGTTTGTGGTAAAGATCTGATAAATAGAGACCTGATAAATTGGTCCATGTTTGAAGAGTGTGTTACCAGGTGAATTTGTAAAACACTGACTTTGACAGTTCTTTGTGAGAATATTCTTGAATATTACCTCCGTGCACTGATTACATTCAATCAACCCAAACTTCTGGACTTTGTTCTTTCTATCACTTGTTTTTGAGTTGATGTTATTTATTACAGGATTTACATTTTAAGTGTATCAAAGGAAGTTTTCTATGGGAGATGAGGAAAGAATTATTTCCAAGCGGAGAAGTGGTAAAGGTTCTTTCACAAGCCTCTTACACTGGTCCGTTAGCTCAAAAAAAATAAGAGGTTGAGAATAATTAAGTTTTATTCGGGAGTTTCACTGTAATCTCAATGATACTTCAGAAACTTTCCCCTTTGCAAGACTAAATAAACAGCTAATAGAATGAAAATCCTCAAGTATGCATTAGGGATTTGCATGGGTTACTGTGTATATCCTACCACTTCACACTGGAATCTTGTTGCAACATTTATTTTTCTAAAGGGGCTATTATATTGACAATAATTCATGAAAAAAAATCTTGAGAATTTGGTATTCCTAGTTTTTCAGACCATATAGAAAAACTTAATAGTGCAGATGGAGTGGTAAATATATTATAAAATAATCAGACTTTACATATGGAATATTATTTTAAGCATATAAACACATACAACGTAACAGAGACATAAAAATACAAACACAGAGAGGTAGAGGGGTCATCCAGAGGATTCCCTGACTTACCTAGAATATCACTTATACAACTAAAATCCTGTGTTCACTGTCTTAATAATATGTAACATGAGAAGTTTTATCTGATGTAAAACAGAACAGCAGTCCACAAAACAGGAAGCCACATATTCCTTCTGAATAGGGCTAAAGTGACTTCATCAAATCTAACAGAAAAATTTTAAAAGTTTATAAGGGATTTGTCAAAAAAAATCTTGACGATTCTACACATTCTATGGTCAGTATTTCAAGATTAAGGAAAAAACAACATATTCCATTGTCTGTGGTAAATACAAAATCAAACTCTCAAGTTTGTTTTGCATTTTGCTCAGCATTTTTGCATGTACATGTGTGGGTACAAGCACAGACACACACAGTTGAATTTAGAAGCGCACACACAGTGAGCAAAAGACAATTCTTCCTTTTAACAGTAAATGTAACTGGTCTGGAAAAGCTTTAATTACATGACACAGAAAGTATTGATCAGATTTTATTTGAAGTCAGTATTTAATGTACTATAGACAAAGACTTGTAAGACTTAATTTTCCTCTGCTCATACAAAGCCAAAATCTTAAAAGTATTGTTGAAATTTGCTTTTGGATTTTTTTCTAATGATTTCACTAGTAAGTCTAATAGGTGCTAACCACCTCTTTGGGGATGGAATTCTTGGTGACTCAGACATACACGAGTAGCACATTTCCTTATTAATACTGTGTTTTGGGGTAAGTTTATTTATTTTCTGTTTTCTCTAAATGAGAAAGAAAAAAAACTTGAAAATAAAATGTACAAATGGAACAAACAGTGATTGGCTGACACTCCACGGCCAAGGGCAGGCTCCAGCAGGTTTCGGAGTAGTAAGGTCATCACAGTATGGTGCAAAATGGAGCATCATATTAGAGTGGAATTCAGCCAAACACAGTAATGTATGGATGTAGACGCATCTGAAAGAAGGAAAATAAAGATTTATGCAGGCAAAAAAAAAAATAAGATGAATAAAATTTCCCCAATGTCTAGGCTGAATCCAAATGCTACAATAGAGGTTTGGGAACAGAGAAACATTTTATTTGCAAATTATTTATTTGTTAATAATAAATATGCTCAGGGGAAAGAAAAGTTGACTTGTCAGAAGAATCCCACTTGGAAGCCTTAATAGTTTTGTTGTTTGTACACAGCATTAGAGTTCAATACAAACATCACTAAATTCCTGAAAATAAACCTTTCTTCTGCCTTTAAAACATTAATTCACCAGAAGTGATAATTAAGATTAGTTTTAGTGGTTTCAGCTCAATTCTTCTTGGAATGTGATTTCTCCCACCACACTAATGCTAAATAAAGCACTGTGTAATGTACCGCAACACAGTCTCTGCTTTAGAAGAGTGTAAGGGCTTGGAAAAAAAAATAAGAAGAAAGAGAAGCAAAGCTTACTCTAGATATATGTGAACATCTCTTATTCTTTATATAGCATCATAGTAAATAAATGAATGGAGCCCCTTGCTGTAGTCTAGAACAAACACCTATTACACTACTTTTCCTACATCACCTCTCCTCCCACCCCTATCCCCCCAAATGATGTTAAAAAATCAAATAGTGTTGATGACTGTGGAAAAGCAATGGCTTTGTCATACTACATTAGGTTTTAAAATTAGTTCAGTTTTATTTTTGAAATTACTAAATTTAACAATTTATAGTTTATTCCCAATAAATTTAGGATCTGAAACACTGGATTAATTAACTGCCTAACAATGAAGCAATCAAATTGAAAAGTAGTAAAATGTCTTGGTCTTTAAAAAAAATTTACTAGAAAACATATTAAGAGGAAAAATAACTTCACCATTGTGTGTTAAGGATGCTACATAGGTAAAATGTATCTGCAAAGTGGATAAAGTGCAAAGAAGCCAGAGGGGCTGTGAATATCGATGGAAAAGGTACAAGATTATCCTGAATTTGAATGTACAGAATATTTCTTATTTTTTTCTCTATTAAAATACATTTTATTTGAGGACATAATAAATGCTAAATAAGAATTTATGTTTGTTATTATTCTGATCACATTAAAAATTCTGTCAATTAACTTATTGAACATATTTTATCAACCATGTTACTTTAATGTATATTATCAATTACTACTACTTACATGGGGGAAAGTAAAATATAATTGTGCTATAAAAAGATCTATCTTTGTAGCCAAATTGATACTTACAAATATATAAGTAAATTTGAACAGATTTCTGTCACTACTGAAATATATACAGAGAAAGTTATGGAAATTCGGGTGTCTTTCCCTCAAGGTATGGACTCTGGTCTACATTATATCCCTAATAATTTTGTGATCCAAATCAAATTACTTTTTTTGTTCTGGACCTCAGTCTCCTCTCCTATAAAATGAGAAAAATGCTTAGTTGCTATCTTTTAATTTTAAAATGTAATGACTCAAGTGATTTTAGGTACAGACATTGAACTGTTCGTTATAGTAATTTTTAATTTTTACTTTAAGTTTAACATTTGTATGAATATTATAACAAAATAAAAGACTATTGGCACCAAGATGGTGTACAGGAATGTGTATTTGTGTGTGTGTGCGTGTGCAGGCAGAGAGACAGAGTTACACATCTATCCATCCATCTTATTCACACTTTTTCACAAATGAGATGCAATTACTCAAAGACAGGAAGATAACAAGAAAATGATTTTGTTATAATTCTATTGCTGCCGGATTTACTTAAAGTCTTTATATTGGTTTTGTGGTCTTATATCTAACTTATTAGCTTATTTAGTATAAGTCTGGGATAAGCTTTAAATTGTCCTATGCAGACTTCCCTTTAAATTTGCATATCCATTTCACATCTAATCAGTGAATGATCTTTTCAATATTTCTTAGACATCCAAAGATTAAGGTAACATTGCTAATGTTGGTGTCTCTCAACAAGAGATATAGCCTAAATTCTGTCAGTTGTTAGCATCTTGCCTAGTATCAGGCAAAATGTAACAGAAGTCCTATGCAGATTTGCTGTGCTCCTTGCATAGTCTTTGACCTATAGACAAGAGACCCATATTGTAGACATTAAGCTTATAGAATTAAAATAGGAAGCCGTGACTGGCATCACCTACAAATAAATTTATATTTAGTTTTCTTAATGCTTAGAATGCTAATAATGATGGCAAGTCATCCATTTGCTTACAAAATCCAAATAGTTAAAATAAGTTCTGCCGTATTTTTCTACCAAGTATACAATGAATACTTTGAACATATTTGATCAATTAAAGAGAATATTATTCAGACAAATTCAGTAGTTCTTTACAAAAGGGAAACTGTCACTGGAGTTAATATGAATTTTTTCCTTGTGTATTTCAGGATCAGCTACAAATGGATTTTAAAATGAATGTTTATTCAAGCTAGATACTTGCCAAAAACAAATTACCTTACTTTCTACTTACTAAATACAATAAAAATTTACTTGTATGTGCGTTTTCCAAGTCACAGCATGTCAATGATAAGCTTAATAGGATTTAAGAATAAGTAAAGCTGTAACTATATTTTATATTGTCTAATAATTTTTGGAGTTATATTATTTTTTAAAGAAAACTGAAAATTACTTAGCATATAGTAAAACACTGGATATTTTTGAATAAATAGAATGCATTTTCATTATTTTACAGATTAAAGGCACAGTTGTAGTTTTAAGTCACAGAACTTTAACAACCACCATGAGAAGATTTACTAGGCAAAAGAAGAACTGAAGGGAAAGGGGATACTTAATCTCAGTCACGCTGTCAATGATACACATTTTGCTCAACTAAACGTATTGAGTAGTTGAGAGCAAAGACTTTTGTTTGAGTTGCACAGGTCTGAACTATGAAAACCTGGACTACATCATGGATTTTTCTAATGTGTGAATTTCAAAAATAATTCCAGCAACTCTGCAGCACACATCTAGAATCTGCCAAAGAACAACTACAGAAATTGATTTGTATGTCCCTGGAGCTTGTGAAAACAAATGAAAAAGAAGGGGGAGGGAAGTGCACGCATAATTTACAAACTTTCATTTCTACAAAGCTGTTTAACTGATTATGCTGTAACCACTGACACCATTTAGGACTAACACCATGAAGCTTCAAAATGTCTAATTCTCATGGACATAAGAACACTACAAGAAACATGAGGAAAACAATCAATAAAATTAAGGCTTTATATCAAATGAAATCTGAGATTTTTAATTAATCCCCATTAAGAGGAATTGAAAGAACAATCCAGAAGTTTTGTCAAAGGACAGAAATTATAAGGAAAACTTGTGCTTTTTTTTTTTAACAAAAAGGCTTACTCAAAGGAAACATATCATGATAGTTGTATGAGACTAAAAGTAGAAAATCATCTACTTGTAGTACAGATAAAAATCAGAACAAAAAGGATTCTGTGTATGTCAAATGTCTAAACAGAATGTAACTTTGTAATTGGATCCCTGATCCCTGACAACACTATTGAGGAGATGAAGCATATCAATTACTATTACTAATTACATTAAGGGAATTGTGTTTCATTTGCTTTCATTTCATTGTATGTCAGCTATTTAGTTGTCGTTAAAACTTTATATATTTTTTGAATACCTAATGACATGCAAATTTTCCAAAGTCACTTTTAGCAAACTGTGTGATTCATTCCATTTGCTTTGTGGGTTGTTTCTTTTGGTATATAGGCTTTGCTCAGCTAAGAGACTAACACCATACATTAGTCTATTTATAAACATACTACTTTCCTTTTTAAACAAGCGAACAGTCTGGATATTGGCTTTAATAAAAACTGATCTAGTTAGTCAAACGAAGCTTAACTGACAGCACAAAACATATGAGCTGTTTGCTTAAAATATCTATAAATTGGTCATTTGACATATCCATTGGGAAAGCATTAGAATTATACAATTAGAATGCAAATTCCCTTCAGTCATAGAATAAAATTATTATTAGGATGACAGTGGAGAAATATTCTGTGGAAAGATCTCTTCACAGTCTTTTGCATTACATGTTACCATTCTCTAGGGAAATTTCTAAGACCTCTATCTGTAGGTGTTTTAAGTAATCTTATAAAAAGTATTCTATTTAACTGGAATCTTCCTTGCTTACAAAACTTATTGAAAAAAACATAAAAAACAAACAAAACAAAAAAACTGCTTATAACTCCAAGTAAAGCAATAACAATGGAACAGATAGAAACTCTATACAGTGTCAAATTTGGTTTAAAATAAATAAATAATTCAAGTTTACATGCATCAAAAGACCTATTTCCAAAAGCTATTTCATGCAATGTTAGATTGCTTTTGTTACTGGACAAAGAAGCCTGTTATATCTCTTTCTCCTTATCCAAATAGCTGCAATAAAATACAGCAAATAGAAAATACTTCCTTAGAAAATTAATTTTAATAATGGTGAAAGCACTAAGGAATTAATATCTCTTTTCGATAGCATCTTGAATGAGGCTATAAAATAACTTTTTTCCTTTACCTCAATTCTTCTCAGATCACATATTCCTCATGCAAAGCATATTTAATAGAAAAACTATCAGGCGATATTATTTGATAAGTCATAAATGTGTTTCTTGAGATGATTTCTGGCAATAAGAAACAGGTATTGCTTTATTAGCAATGCTTGCTACAGCATTACAGATCAGTTTCCAAAAGCAAGGTTTTATTAGCTGTGTGTCAAACTTTGAGGGGTTAGAAAAAGTAAACTTCTGAGAGTATATCACACAAGCAAAACTTTCAAAAATAAATCTTATGTTTTCTGAAGTTCCCCTCAGGATATATATACTGTTTCCATGTTACACCAGGAAACAGCTGTGTCAAATAATCCACATAACCTTCATATTTCCTGTATGTCACATGCATACCAAAATCATTATGCACATAGTATATCAATTATGAACATTTTTATTGCTTGCCTTCAATAATAAATGGCCTGTGCAAGTTATCTTTGTTTATAAACTTTAATACTGAACAGGAAAAATACAAATGTTGATTACGTATACTCATAGAAGACTAATTGATATAGGTATCTATTCTTGTAGATATAATGCATTTAAATGTAATTCTGCACGACACTTGTATACTAGTAAATATTTTTAAACCAGCATTTTGTCAAATTAGTATCCCAGTATCTCAGACTTGGCACTACATTTTCAGGAATCAACATCTGCCTATTTGCAAAGTCCTGCATTATGTGTAGCATAACTAAAACTTTTATGGTGTCCAATTTGCATAGACAGACACCAGTTGTAACTCTAGAAATTTTCTCACTGGATGCAATTATCCACATAGAACTAATCAAACAATATGCACATATCTATTCCATAAACAGAAAATGTAGGATGAATTAGGACAGTCAAGTGCACAAGGGTAGTGCAAAACACTGCCTACACTGAATATCTCCTTTAGTACCTTAGTCAACCTCTTATCTAGCATACAGCATACCATGGTACACCTCTCACTGCAGGTCTCTGCTATTTTAATGGTATATGAATTAATATTTAACACCTGCTATTAAAAAATTAAACAAGAACTTTAAAACAAAAACCAAAACTTTGCAGAAGACAGCTGCCTCAGAGTTATTAGCCCTCTCTGGGATATTTAAATGTACTTGGGATGCATCTTACCTGTTTGCTGTACTTGTTATTGGTTTGACAGCTGTACTCAGAGCAGTGATCTGATCCAATTGAAATGTTGTCTCCTGCTCCCACAAATGTGTTGGCTGGTGGTAGATCTTGTACAGCCTGGTGTTTTTTTCCTGCTGTTGGTGACTGAGGGTGAAGCTGGACAGTAGGCAATGGGGAACTAGATTTGTAATGCCTTGCCAGGTCAGGACTGCCAGGCCCACCATTAACAGATCGGTATCGCCCCATGCTTGGGCTGTCTGACAGCTTCTCATTGACACTGTCATACCTCTGTCCATTTGGTTTAGAAGCTTCTACAGTGACAATGCTGCTGTAGAGAGGCTGCTTAGATTTCTTGTTTTTCTTGTCCTTTTTAGGCTTTTTAGATTTGTCATGCTGTTGGGGTGTAAAAAAGTCTTCATGATCTTTTTTCCCAGCTTCATAGCCATTTTTATTTTTGGACCTGCAGTACCTTGCCATTACAACAATTAAAATGATTAGAATCACAGTCATAATGCCAGCAACCACCCCAATGACAATACTGAGTCTTTGTTTGCTAATTTCATAGCTTGGGTCACCAGCTATGTCCTGGGTGAGTGGGGTGTGCAAACTTCTGGCTATCTGGGAGTCAATCACAGTTGCATTAGAAACACTTTCATTGACAAATACATGCACCAGAGCCGTGGTGGACTGGGAAGGCTGCCCACTATCATTCACTTGCACCACCAATCTGTGCAGGCCATAATGCTTTTGGGTGAGTTTTCCCACTAAGGAAACCACACCACTGGTGGAATCAATCTCAAACAGCTTGAAGGGATTCCCTCCCACAATGCTGTAGTTGAGATCTGCGTTGATGCCATCATCACTGTCTGTTGCCAGTACTGTAGCTACTACTGTCCTGACATTACTTGATGGTGGCAGTACAGTGTAGGAAATGTTTCTGGGAAGGGTAACTGTGGGAGCATTGTCATTTTCATCCATCACAAAGAGAGAGACGGTGGCTGTGGCTGATCTGGGAGGTTCTCCCCCATCCACAGCCTTGACTCTGAAAGTGTATGTGGTCTGATGTTCCCTGTCAAAAGACATTGTGGAGTAAATGGTCCCCGTGTCATTTTCAATAGAAAAGATGTTACTGTTTTCCTCTATGTAGAGGCTCATCTCTGCATTCCGTCCCTTGTCAGCATCCATCACGGTGACCATTCCCACTGGGCTGTTGGGTTGCAAGTTTTCTTTCACATAAAAGGTAAAGACTTCCTGCATAAATTTAGGGTCATTGTCATTCTTATCAGCCACCTGCACAATTACTGTGGTGCTGCCCTGCAGCATAGGGATGCCTTTGTCTTTGGCATTCACTTTAAACTCATACCTGTCTGTCTGCTCCCGGTCCAGCACGGTATTGACCAGGATGTCCCCAGAATCGGGATCAATGGTAAAGATCCCCATTACGGACGAGTCCAGCGAGTAGGCGATTTCGGCGTTCTTCCCGCTGTCTGCGTCAGTCGCCAGCACAGTAGCTACCCTCTCTCCAGAGATGTTGTTCTCAGGGAAGTAAACCTCCACCACGGACTGGCCAAAGACCGGCGGGTTGTCATTGGTGTCTCCCACCTTGACAATCAAGGAATTGTTGCTGGAGAGGCTGGGGCTGCCAGAGTCCACTGCCACTATGACCACGTTGAACTCCCTGTTGTTCTCATAGTCCAGAGGGGCTGACGTGTGCAGAAAGTACTTTTTCTTGTTCTGGTCGCCCTCTGTGTCGCTGGCCGGTTTAAGCTGGAAGGGCACATCGCCTACTAAGGTACAGGTGACTACCCCGTTCTCCCCTTGGTCTCTGTCTGACACCTGTACTAGGGCGATGGGGGTGTCAACCAGAACGTCCTCAGCCACGTTGGCCACCCCGTCCTTAAGTGGGATGCGCCCGATCTTGCGGATTTCAATGGATGGAACATTGTCATTCTCGTCCTTGATGTTGAGGACCACGGTGGCTTTGTCGGTCTTGGGGGGCTGCCCACGGTCGCGGGCCATGACTGTGAATCGCAGTTGGTTTACTTCCTCGCGATCAATACGGTGCAAGACACTAAGCCAGCCGGACGTTTCGTCGAGGCGCAGTAGTCGCCTGACCGACTCTGTAGCCGCCCCAAACACGTACTCGATCTGCCCATTGACACCCACGTCCAAGTCGGCGGCCCGTAACTGCAGGATAGGGGTACCCGGGGCGCTGTTCTCAGCTAGGTCAGCCTCATACACGCTCTTTTCGAAGCGCGGGCTGTTGTCATTCACGTCGGTGATGAGCACCCGCAAGATGGCCTGCGAGGATCGAGGCGGGTCTCCGCCATCGCGCACCCGCAGGGTCAGCTCATAGGAATCACGCTGCTCACGGTCCAGCGCCCCCTTCACGATCAGCTGCGGTTGCTTCTCGCCGTCCGGGGTGTCTGCCACCTGCAGCTCGAACACACTGCTGCGGCCGCCGGGGGTGGTCGCGCCGCCGCCCTCTGGCGCGTCCAGTCGCCTCTTGGAGCCTCCGGGTCCGCCGCCGCTCACGCCGTTCCCGCCGCCCCCTGGGTAGGGGGCGCTGTCGGCCGGCCCGGAGCGCCGTCCCTCTCCGCCGCTGCCGCCGCCCCCGGGCTCCTGGAGCAGCTCATAGCGCTCGATGCCATTGCGGCCAAAGTCACGGTCGGTGGCAGTGGGCAGCAGGTAGAGCGTGCCTACAGGCCGGTTCTCCTCCACCGTGAGCGTGAGCACTGGAGACGGGAAGGTGGGCGTGTTGTCGTTGATGTCCAGCACGATGACCCGACCCTCAAACAGGTCCACCCAGCTCTGCGAGGGCCCGATCACCGACACCTCGAAGTCCAGGAAGCACTCGTTCTCGTCGAAGATCATCTGACACTGGGGCAGCTTCTCGCGGTCGATGCGCCGCTCGCTGGTGCTCAGCTCACCGGTGAGGTTGTCTATCTTCAGGTACTCCGAGCCCGACTCAAGGCTGAAAGTCACCTCACCGGATCCGGTCACGATGCCCAAGTCCGAGGCAACGTTGCCTATCCGAACGTCGGCGGGGCCCTCCTCCGCCAGCCGGTATCGGAGGAGCTGCTTGGCGGCGGCCAGACTGAGCCAGAGCGGCAAAAGGAGACAGCAGCCAAAACACCAGCCGCGCGCCCACCCCGTCGTCCGCATCCTCAGCATCTTCTCTTGCTGTTGCTGCTACTGCTCCTTCTAACCACAGCCCCCCCTCTGCGCCCCCTCCTCCCGGGATGGCTGCCTGCCCTCCCCTCAAGCCTCTCTCCACTCTGGGAAAGGAAGGAATGAGGGGGGGGAGGGAGGGGGCAAGGGCAGTGTGTAGAGTCCACCGATGGGGCGGGGGAGCAGCAATAGATGCTTTTTTTTTTTTTTCCCTCCTGCTTCTTCCGAAAGTTATTGTTTCATAATTCATGCAATGGGTGCTAATCGCCCGCTCGCCGGCCGCCGTTCAGTCGCAGTACTCACAGTTCACGGGACACTGCGCGCCGCGGGCTCGGCGCCCCCCCCAAAGTCATCCCAGCAGCGGGAGGAGGATCCTGAGCTCCGGTTCCCGCTCTGTTGGAAGGGTCCAGAACCGCTTCGGCAGGCTGGCGGTGGTGCCGGGAAGCGGCTGGGAGCGAACCTGAAGTCTTCCCCCCCCTCTGCCAGCCCCACTAGTCTTTGCCGCTACTCGAGTTGAGCCCAATTCACGTTCCAGCCACTCACTCCAGACCAAGCCTCTGCTCCCGCTCCGGCTGCCCAGGCAAACGTGAGCGGCTTCCTGCACAAGGATCCGGGTTCAGCAACAAGCCAGTCTCAACTCTGACTCCTCTCAAGTAGCAGGGGAGCCAGTCAACAAATTGAGAATGAAAAATACCCGGCAGGTCGCTTCGGGCACGGTGCGGTGGAGACTACTAGCGTCACAGCGCGGTCCGTGTCCGGATCTCCTCCGCGCGCCAAAGAGCAGCCCGAGCCATCTTCAGAGACGCCCAGAGAGTCAGTCGCTTTTCACCCCGGAGAGCTCGGATTTCTCTTTTTTCTTAACAACTCTGCGCAAGGTCATTAGTCACGAAGCCACCGCCTGAAACCGCAGGAACCATTCGCCCGCACGGGCTAGGGCCGAACCGTGCGCACCGAGCGGCGCCCAAGTTTGGATTCACAGCCGCAGAGTCCGTGCCTTTCCTCACCTGCATTCGGCCCGCATGTCGGAGCAGTGGGATCTGCAGCGCTGTGCGCGATTCAGGGAGGAGATTGCAGCCTCTCTCTCTCTCCGCTCTCTCTCTCGATCCCTCCCCTCCTCCCTCCCTCTTTCCCTCCTCCCTCCCCCTTTCTCCTCCCTCCTCTCCTTTCCCCTTTCCCCCTCTCACTTGCTCTCCTCTCCTGTAGGATCTCTCTCCTTCCTCACAGTCCTAATGCTGGCAAGTCGAGCCGAACTTGATCCCTTTGCAGTTCAAAGGTGGGCAAGCCAGGCTCCACGCACCGGCAACACTGGCCCAGTGAAAGCGCATGGCCGGGCTCCCCCAAAGGCAATTAACAAAGATGCCCAATTCCGCCCGGATTTCCAAAGAAAAGCCAAAGGCATTGGGGCGGGGGTGGAGGGGGAGGTGGAGTCAGAGACAGCTGCCAAGTAGCTTTAAAAAAAAAAAAAATCCAGTTTGCCAAGGGGAGAAAAAGTGCCAGTCGGCTGTTGTCTCGGAAGTGCCCTGGCTCGGCGGGTGAATTCCGCAGTTGTCTCGTCCCTTTCGCGTCAGGAAGAGTCTGGTGCGGGCGCTCCAGCAGTCTCTCCAGCTATCGCGGTTTGGAGACACTGAACCGCAAACTGGGAAGCTCCAGCTCCCGCTACTCTCGAGTCGGAAACCCGCAAGTTTGCCTAAAGTGATGGTTACTGCTGGAAGCTCGCTCCTGACTCAGACTTGTCCCCGACACTGCAGCGGCGGGGGCCGTAGCAGACGAACCGCCGAAACTACACACTCGTAGAGATGGAGGGAGGAGGGCCCCGGGAAAGGAGGCGGGAGAAAGCACCAGACTCCCCTGCACTCCTAGAAACCCAGCTTCAGCTCCTGGGGCCGCTTGCGGCGTGAACAATCTCAGCCCCTTGAAGCCAAAGCCTAGTACCGCCTGTCAGTGCAGCGGACGTTTCAAAGGGAGGGAAGCTTGCGTTCCCTCCCTCGGGCTGGTAAATTTCCTGCTCCTGCTGAAGCCAAGTGCTTATGTGAGAGCTCTACGCGGTATTAGAATACGTTTTTCCTTGTCCCCCACCCCCCTCAGATTAGGTCCACCCCTCCTCACTCCCCGAAAGTGTCTGTTTGGAATTGAGCATCTGGGTTAGTGCTTGGTTAGTGGTAGGATGGGGACCCCGCTTATGTCCAGAAAGCCAGGCTTGTATTCTGAAAAACCCTGAGGGCTGCAGTGGTGAAGACAGAGCATCAAACTTCAGAGAGAGGGGAAAGAGGGATCCTTTTTTGGGAGTGCATACTTTGAGAGCTGAGATTGGGGCGGGGGTGGGGTGGGGAGGATGCCTGTCTTTGTTTAAATGCTTGGCATTCCTGTCGTCTTGCTTGCATTTGGGGGTAGACCGTGTGTGCACGCGCCTGGGGAATAAAACACATGTTGGAAGCCTCGATATTATTTTTCTGGGCAGAAACCTGCAGTCTTTAGTAACTGGCAAAGTGTAGCGTCACCTACCTGGATATAAGGGAAATAAACTTTAATGGCAACTTTTGTGTATCAAGTCTACCTAGCTTTTTTGCTCAGTCTTTTGACTTTGTGCTACTTCCTAGTCCCTGCCATTCCTCTACACGGGGCTTCCCCAGTTTTCAATAGCGACCTTAGCGGTCTGCCTTGTCAGATCTCAGGTCTGGTTTTGCCTTGGAAACTGAAGCCACCTTCTCCTCACTTATTTCTGTTAATGAGGGGGGAGGGCGATTAAGAAAGCTGAGGAGGATATAATCCCCAAATATTTTTTTAAATGTTGCTGGGATTTGGTAGGTCCTTAGCTCTTCTGTTTAATCTATAGACGCATAAGGGCTTCCCCTTAAACAAAAATTTAAAGCGGAAAAAAAGGATAAATGGTTCCAGAGTCTGTAGTCTTTATGAAACATGGATAAGGAGGCATAATGTTTTAAGCAAGACAAATACCAATAAAGTGTACAAGCAAATGTAGCGCACGTTGTTTGGGCAGGCTTAGAGAGCAGGAATGGGGAGGGAATAAGACAGATTTCCAAGCTCCCCCTTTTCGGAATCATACCGGCGCGGGGGATGAAAGTGTGTGTAGTAGGTGCCAGGGAGCAAAAGAGTATTTCCCAGTGTGTTAAAGCAGCACCTTCAGAGAGCGTTGGCTCCTCCTCTGAGGGCCGGGAATCCGGCCTTCCGCGTAAACCTCCCGTGGCCACCACCAGAGCTACTCTCAGCTCTGTATCTGCAGTATCAGCGAGAAAAGCCCCGTGCGCAGGCTCAGTGCGTACCGCCGCAGTCTGGAGCCGGGGCGGGGGCGGGGGCGGGCTAAATGACGGTAACGCCAAATCCCCCTAACGTTTGAGGAAAACCGTGGTTTTTCAGAATGCCTGCTTGCTTTTGACCCCGGTCCTGAAGTGAAAGACAGAAGCAGGCTCCATTTCTTGGCCCAGAGCCACGCATTCCGATGCGTGGCAATCTGGTGCAATGCACTCACTTGCCTCGCCGCCCTACTAAGCTTTTGCAAACTTCAGGCAGTCGCGTGGTTAAGGAGACATTGTAGACCCTCCTCTTCTCTCTCCACACTGTAAACTTGAATAAATCCCTTGGCCTCTTCAAACACTTGCCCGCCACTCTGGCGCGCACTAGTCAGGCGCACACTTTGCAAGGGGTGAAGGAGTGGGCGGCTTTTCCCCAGCGTGCTGCACATTTCTTTCCGGATGACTCTGGTTGGGGTTGGGGGGCGGGGAGGCAACGCGTCCTTCACAGTGGAGTGGTTTCCTCTGCGAGCCGGAGGTAGTCTCCAGCTCAACCCCCTCACTCCCATCCTTACGAACTCCGCGACGGAGCCAAGCCAGCGTGGGAAATGGGTCCGACGTGTGCTGCATGGAGAGCAGCGCTGCCGGACTGCAGGGGCCATGAAGCCTTCAAGCTTTCCTTCCTCCCCCATCAGTCCCCCACTCCGATCTTTTCGCCGGAACAGCCAAGAAATGGCTTTGCCCTGTGGCGCGGTTCTAGGCAAAGGGAATCAAATGGGCGGGGGGAAGATGCGAGGGGAGGTGAGAGGAGCCCACCCAGCGCCCAGGTCGTGGTCGGTGCTCCCAGTCCTCTTCCAACCCCTGCCAGGGGGCTGACACTCTCACTCCAGCCGGCGCAGTGTATGAATGGAGGCGAGAAGCCTTTTCCCTCACCCCCGCCCCATTTCCGCAGTGTTGGAGCCAGTGTCACAAGTGCTCAGCAATTTCATTAAACGGAACCGGGGGACTTAATCTCCTCCTCCCTCAACACCCCTCACCCCAATCAGTAACAGACCTCACCTAGGGAATATGATATCCGGGTTCGCTCCCACCCACAAACCCCGCCTGGCTTTACAGTCCTGAGGCTGCATTTATCTTCTCAACCTGAGAGGCAAGGGTTCAGAAGGAAATGGGATCGAAAGTGTAACCGGGTGCAATAAATTAAAGAGCCTGCTGCTGCTGCTGCTGTTGCTGCTATTTCTGCTTCTGCTTCTTCTGCTGTTGCTTTGGTGTCCAAAACTGGAGAAAGAAAACGGGAGCAGTGTCCTGAAGCCTGCATTGATCGGTGATAACACGTCATCACGCATTACAGGAAACAAAGTGTTTGAGGGAATGTTGAAATGTTTGGATTCTGGTTTTTTTTTTTTCCTTTGTCTGCTTTTTTTAAAGGGCCATAAAAAGTCTTTTGAAAACCAAGACATAAAAGTGAAATTTTTGATACCATGCCATACTAATAAACATTTACTGAAAGCTTGACCAGTGATCCTTTTTATTTGCCCCCTAAACTTGCAATATACGGTAGCTTTTTAAACTTTTCTTTAAAAACAATTACCTACTAACCTCTTTTGCTTAAAACTGCTTTGCAGCTAAGACATTTCAGTGACTGAACGGAAAAATAGCATTCAGAGCCTGCGATGTAGGTTAAGCCTCAAGAACAGGCAGGAAAAGTAAGGAAAACAAAAGTTTATTATGGTTAAGAATACAAAGAATTAGGTGTCAGCAATATGATCTCAGGAGGGATTTCATTTATGATAGACGCTATATTATTCACAATAATACAAGAAAAAAGGTTAAGTATAGTAAACACGATAGCCAGTTCTGGAAAGAAAGAAAAACCAGTTTGAGGGAAAGGGAGAAAGTGACTCAAGAACTCCACCAAGGGACAAACAGAGGAAATGACACCCGACATCTCCAAATGTATTGACCTTTCATCTTTTTTTTCAAAAACGTTCTTCTAAGTCCTCTGACACATGTATAGAACTGTTTTTTTCCGCCTTTGTGATCAACCATTTCTCTAATTATTTTTGGTAAATTTGATACTTCATTATTCCTTCTCTAAACAATTATTAGAAATGATTGTCTATTAAATTTATTATTTTAAATTGCAAATATAATTTGAAAATTATATTATTAATTACAATTATTAAATTGTAAATATAATTCCTATTGTCTTGTAGGAAGTATGAGTCTAGTGTTTGGGATGAGGAGAGACTTTGGATATTTTGCAGTTTTAAATCCATGCCTGTAGCATTGAAATGTGTAGTAGACTGAAATGTCTAAATTATTCATTACAACAACAAGCTTTTTGATGGACCTTAAAACTCAGCAATTTAAATAAGGAAACCTCAGATTTCCTTTTAAGCAGGTAATAACTGCTTGCATAGGTAGTTATTTAATTTATTTCTCCAGCCAAGAAATAGAATCACTTGTGCTGTTTAAATCATGAAATCATGTGTGCAAAGCTATATACTACAATACATAAATAAAGAAAAACACAAGTTACAAACTTGTGTTACAGTTGATTCATGCAACCCATTGGATAACAATCAAGCATCTCCACAAGACTAGTGTCATAATCCTGTTTGCAAAGAAAAAGAATTCTTAAAAATAAATTTTGTGTTTATCTAAATATTAACTCATAAGCTGTCTGATTTTAATATTCCACTAGAATGCTTCACGTTTTAAAATAAAGTGATAGAACTTAATAGAAATGATTTTTACTTTA